TATATATATATATCAGTTTTCATTCAGCAGAGACAAAAAATATTGTGACAACAACAACCACAATAATAACAACAACAACAACAACAACAACAACAACAACAACAACAACAATAATAATAATAATAATAATAATAATAATGAAAACAATAATATTAATAACATAATAACAACAACAACAATAACAACAACAGCAACACAAAAAATAAAACAACAACAATAATAATAATAATAATAATAATAATAAAACATTAATAATAATAATAATAATAATAATAATAATAATAATAATGAAAACAATAATATCAATAACACAACAACAACAACAACAACAACAACAACAACAATAATAATAATAATAATAATAATAATAATAATAATAATAATAACACTAATAATAATAATAATAATAATAATAATAATAATAATAATGAAAACAATAATATTAATAACATAATAACAACAACAACAATAACAACAACAGCAACACAAAAAAATAAAACAACAACAATAATAATAATAATAAAACACTAATAATAATAATAATAATAATAATAATAATAATAATAATAATAATAATAATAATAATGAAAACAATAATATCAATAACACAACAACAACAACAACAACAATAATAATAATAATAATAATAATAATAATAACACTAATAATAATAATAATAATAATAATAATAATAATAAAAAAAAGTCTGACAGATTTCTGCTGATTATTTGGGTTTTAACAGTAAAAGTTTTCCAGTGTCACGGTTCGTCAGCTAGAGGTCATAAAAACCCCAAAATGTTAATTAAAGCTTCGTGTCACGTGACCCACTCCGTTATTGAGTAAGTGGGTTTCCTCGTCCCGCCCGCGCGCGCGCGCCCGTCTCTGAGCAGATCTGATGACAGAGTGTGCGCGCGCGGAGGAGAGAGGGAGGAGAAAGAAGCAGGAGCGCCGGGAGGAGGAGGGGAAACTTTTCTTCCTCCAGTTTTTCAGATTTCATTGTCATTTAGTGGCAGAGAG